GAACTGAAGATATACGAATTGTTTTCATGATCCATTCTTTCACCACAAGAGCGTCGTGTTATTGCTTGGAAGAGTATATCCGCGAACGGTTGTTCATTTAAGGATTGATTATTTGCGGTTAACGAATCATACAAAAATGTCGTCAAGGGTAGTATAGATCTTCGAGTCTGAAAAACTCAATTCGTATATCTTCAGTTCTCTAGGACTAGCATCTTGTTGAATACTTACAGTATAGGGTGTTGTAGTTGATTTTGGATCGATATTCTTAAGACAATCATCAAAATTTATAATCTTTCCCGTGTACTTCATATCCATAATCTAAAATGGAATATGATTCGTTCAAAGAGAAGCAAGTCGATCAAGATTTTTTCATACCGAATAGATTTGAAGTTTCGAAGCAAACAATTGTCGTAACTGTTCAGTCCAATATAGCTGAGTGAGCCGTATGAGGATACTTGGTAATTTATAAAACAATTTCATATCCGCTTGATTTAATGGAGCATAATGAAGAAGTTCTATTGGAAGATAGACCACTCGGTCACACACCAAATCGTCCTTTGCCTTCTTTTCAGTTGAACTTGGCTGAAGATAGTTGATTCGAGGGTTACTAACAGGTTTCATTGTTGCCATCAATGCATCATGTTGGATAGAGATTTGTGGTACTTTATCCTGAAAATAGTCAGCATAGGTTTTGATTGTATCTAATTTTCGTTTGTATATCCACGGATCCGAAGTTCGTTTTGATGAAACATCACCTGGCATAACAACATATAATGGTTTGTGAGACAAATACCAAGCGATATAGAGTTCATTATCAGATAATTGAGAATAATGTTCAATAGGTTTATTCAATCGATTGCAGATCGACAACATTCTCTCAATATCAATCTCATGGTAGTCTGAAAAACTCAAATTACTTGATAGAAAATGTGATTGTGTAGTCTTACTTTTCAATAAACATGGAAGTAATTTAAAGGATGATTGTTCAATATTAAAAGTGAGGATAGATTGTGAACCATTGATAATTCCATCAAACACATGTTCGAATAAATATTTGCAGAATGACTCAAGTTCATTTTTGTATTTCTGGTACTCGATTGTTTTTACATAGGTTATATGTACGGTTAATATTTCATCACCAACATCATACAAAGAGAAAAGTGGTATCTATAAATACATCTAAATCTATTTGAATACTCGAAACAGATATCTATGTCATTTACATCGACTAGTTTCAATGGTACGATAAATCCAAGTTTGTCTGTTTCTTGTCGAATATTGATTTTATAGAGATGCCAAATGTCGGAAGAGTCATTCGACTGACAAGGAAATATATTGATCTACATATGAGAGAAATCTATGATTATTAATGCACATATTTTCATACGTCTTCTAATTGACCTGTCTTTCAAACTGTTCTATAGTATTGCTATGTTTCTTTTCGAATAACTCGTCACACAATTTAAACAATTCATGTTCGATCAAAACGTCCTTTTCTATTAATGAAATCTTTCTAAAAGGACGACATGAATCATCTAATGCTTCTAAAATGGATCATTGACAAACAGAAATGTGCACATTTTTTGACAAATTTAACCTACTGTTTCGATGCAGCAACTCGACCATTTTCAAGCAGCATTGGTACTTGGCCAGTTTTTTACTTCTATTTTCACACTAAAATGCATTATCAGATGGTAGCTCTAGTCTTTATCAGTATGAAATCTGTTGTATTTGAGTTTGGGCGAACTTACTATAATATCCTCCCGTACTGGGCAGTTTGCTGGCATTGACAGGACGCCTATAAAGGTATTCAAAATAGTTTTATGATAAAGAATTCTAGGTGGACAAAGTCGACCATTGCCAATTATTGTACAATATCTACAGGAATCAAAATACTAAACTGTTGAGTTTATCGCATAAACTGAACTCACTGATAGATGATCTGAGCAGCTCGTATTGCACTAATGACTGCACCATTCTCTGTTCGATAAGGTTCCAATTGATTCAAATCATCTGTATTAAAATCATCATCATTATCGATAGAAAACTCTTCTTGAAGCATCTAATATAATGTCGAAAAAATATTCTATAGAGTCGATGAGAAATAGTCTGAGAGCAAAATGACCTTTTCAATTTGTTCATAGCTTTGGTACGTGTTCACATCGTTCAACACACTTTCTTCGTCGAGTCTATCAATTAGAATTACATACGATGCATTTTGTTTAGCCCTGGCACGTCCTTTCGATTGCATATACGAAGAAAAATTTGGTGGTCTATTGAAACGGAATACAAGATTACATTTTGGAATATCAAGACCTTCTTCGACTACGGCCGTAGCCACTAAAACATTTATTTCACCCGCACGAAATGCTTTTATAGTTTGACGCTAAAAAAGAAAGCTTGATTTTCTAATGAGAAATCAAATTCAAGTTTTCAAACTTGATATCTTGCTGTCATTGCTGTTGAACCAACACTTGATCTGTGTCCCGTAAGATATTCGATTTTCAAACGTTTCATATTGTCTATTGGAAATCTTCCACTCAGACAATTCAATAGCTGATTCAAAATGATTGCTGTGTAAATGCGTTGGATAAAAACAATACATCGACCAAGACTATTGTTGTCAACATCTTGTTTGATACGGCGAAACACATGTAGAACTTTCGAACTGTAAAGAATCTCATCATTATTTTCGTTTATATGAATCAAATTTTGAAGAATATCATCGGTGAGACAATCGATGCGTTGCATCGAAGAATCGAACAATGCTTTTCCTTTTTCATCGGTTATTAATTCCAATGCTCGAGATGATTTCAATGTTCTCTGTAGTGCTTTACATGCTAGAAAAAACCCATAGATACCAAGTTCATAACCTGTGTACAATAAATTTTCAAGATAATATTTCAGACGAGGTAGATTAACGTATTCTGATTGAAGAAATATCGTGTAGTCCACTGAACGGGCACTGTATTCGGTTAAATTTTCACCTAAATAGTCTGTCATGAGGATAACTTCTACAAGATCTTGTTCAATCTTTTCACGCTCTGCTTTTTGTTCGCTCAAGTACGATTTTAAATCATCTACAATTGATTGAATTGTCTAAATATCACTTTCAAATACGGTCGATTCTATTAGAAAAGTAATTTACCTCAAAAGGAATTTTGATACTTTCTTGATCGTTTCGAATCTGATCTTGATAGGTTAAACAGCAGATCGGTTCCAATCGAACAGATGTACCATATCGGTTACTTTCTTCTCGATTTGAACCACTGGCAACTCGAGCCCTCAAAAAGGAACCAAAAGAATCTTATAAAATACAATTTCGAAAAATATCTATCAAATTACTTATAAGTTTGTTCAATCTGTTGAACAGCATTTGGCAGTTGATGAGGTGCGAGTTTTTTTGCGCTGATTGATGCTGTTAGGCCTAATATACGGGGTGGATCATGACATTCATTGTATCTTTTCATCAGTGCAGGATAACAACTTCCTCCCGTTGAATGTTGGCATTCATCAAAAATTAATAAGTTGACATTGTACAAAGCTGAAGCAGATAAAACTATAATTTATTATCGATTAAGAATCAACGACCTACGGAAATAATTATGTTCAACTAGATTGAGAAAAACCTGAGCAGTAAATACAAGTACTTGATGGTTCTCAAATTCATCGAGCCATTGCTCTTTTGACCAAGAATCTACTCCTAATGCACCATAATAATTGCCAACAGTCAAATCTGTATGTATACGAATATAATCACTTTGTTGTTGAACAAGTGCAACTGAAGAGGAAAAACTTCGATAATAATGATTTGATATAATAAAAATTCAAACCTGTTTTGACGAGAAATACAGTTCTTTTTCCTCCATCGCTAATACTCTTACGCGTCTCTCGTGCCATTTCTTTAATGAGCATCACAGCTATATAAGTTTTTCCACTACCAGTGGGTAAACAAACGATCAAATTTTCATCTTTAGCTTGTTCGACTAATTCAGTCTGTCAGAAAATAAACTAATTTGAATGATTTATTTTCTTCATAGGAGATTTTACTTGATAGGATCGTGGTATTATTACATAATTTTGTGTCGTAGCAATATCATTAACGTTTACTGTTGTTTTGCGAGAAACATTCAACGTACTGGAAATAGACAAAGTCGATTGTTGTCGAAACGATTACTTCACTCCAATTAACATAATGTCTCAAATTAGGAAGTATCACTTACAGATGTTTTGCTGGCGACTGCGACGTTGACATTATTGTCGATTCAGATAATACGTATTTAACTTTTTTAATACTCAAAATTGCCTTCTTAGTGAATTTTTATTTTTTACTTTTTCCCAATTGCAACATTTACGCTTTCTCCTGTTGGTTATCGTCTTTCACCTAACAAAAAAAATCTTTTTACTGCTGCGATAGAGGCCCTTATTATTCAATTACTAATTTTAAATTTTAAAGTTTAAGACTTTTAGCAAAAGTATTATTAACAAAAATTAAAAATTTTAGCTTCAATTTAAATAAATTTATTGAATTTATTTTCATTACATTGAAATGAAAATGAATAAATGAGGGAAAATGAAAAAATTTCTTTAACAATATATAAACACTTAAATTCAAAATAATAAAGGTGTGGATATCACTGGAACCCACAGGCATACTCACTACTTTTATACGAATTATCTTCTCCGAGCGACATCATTTCTTTTAATCTAATATTCCATTTCAAACGTGCCTGGCCTCATTTTGGGTGAATTTTCTAAAGATCTGTTCAAGGGCAAATTACTATGACACTTTTTTAATCTCTTTAGTTTTCGAAGAAGGAAGCAGTTGTTCCAAATACGATTACTGTTAAATTGCTTCGCATCTTATACCAATTCAGAATTAAGTAACATTATTTTATTTTCTTCATTGCTTATCTTTTATTCATCGGTGTCGGTAGCAAGTAGTGCATTTGTCACTGAATAACTGAATGAAACGATTTTTTTTCTGAGAGACAATAGACTATATATGAAGTGATCCTATGAGCTTTGATTCGTTTGTTTTTCTATAGTTCATTTCTGTAGATCGAGATAGGTGTGGGTGTGGGTGTGGGTGGGATGTGGGTGTGGGTGTGAGTGGGGTGTGGGTGTGGATGTGAGTGGGGTGTAGAGCCCGGCGTGACCAACATTTTTGATCACGGTCACGTCACGGTCATGATGGACACGAGCCGTGACCGTGATCGTGACCGTGAGTCACGAAAATTTTTTTCTAGTTTATAACAGCCTCTTTCAGTAAATGATATGTATTGTTGACGAAGGTCATATAGAAATTCTATTGGTGAAATGTGGTAAGAACATACTCCCGTGAAACGAAAGAAAGAATAAGCAGATTTTTTTATATTGAAGAACAGAATTTGAATACAAACAATGGGACTATATTAGTGTTCGTGACTATTCGTGACTAACTTCCAGTCACGGTTACGACCGTGACCGTGACTACCGCGACTCACGGCGGTCACGCCGGGCTCTAGTGGGGTGTGGGTGTGTGGGTGCGGGTGTGGCTGTGGGTGGGATGTGGCTGTGGCTGTGAGTGGGTGTGGATGTGGGTGCGGGTGTGGCGTGTGGGTGTGGGTAGGTGTGGGTGTGCATGTGGATGAATGTTGTTTCTCTCTTCTTTCACATGCACACCCCACACCTACCCACACCCCACACCTACTCACACCCCACACCTACCCACACCCACACCTACCCACACTCACATCCACCCACACCCACACTCACACCCACACCCTCCAAAGTCGGAAAGTGTTTAGAGAAAAGCGCCAAAATTCGGAATTTTCTGAATAATTCGGAGGATCTGGCAACCCTGAGAGTAAAATATAATGAATAATGATGGATGTTGTTAGAGTGCTCTCTATCAGATGAACAGAAAAGGGTAAAGAAAGACAAAAAATTAAAGTAGCAACAATTTTTTTTGTAACAAAATTTTTTAACAAATATCATATGAGGATGTGGGTGCAATAAAGTCCTAGCTCTTATCCACATCCATGCTCAAAACTAAACAGCAACACGCTAGTTACAGCCCACGCCCATATCTACAGCCACACTTAGATCCGCACGTCGATATTCATCCCGAGACACTTCAGACTAGGAGTGTAGCAAATCTTAAGTTCTGGGATTTGATATTATTTGGTTTGGTTTTGAGACAAGATTTGAATTCTGTTTGGGTATGAATTTGGTTTTGGTTTCAAATGACTGGCATCTCAAAGGATTTGGTAACAAGAAAAAGATTTTGTAATTTGGCACGTAATCCTTCCTATTTGGATTTTGTATTGGACAAAAATAATATAAATAGTTTGCCTTTTGATAATGGTCGCCAAATTGCAAATTGTTTGTGTGGATTTGGTCGAAAAGCAAATCCATGCTTCAAATCCAAATCTAAGATCCAAATTCAAATCCAAACCAAATTCCAAGGTCATCGATCATAAATCTTAAATGTATTCTAGAATTGTTGCACCCTTACTCCAGACCCAAATCGATCCTCTTCGTTAACAAGAGGGTGTGGGTGCAGGTATGAGTGTGGCTCTTATCTTCACACACACACCCACACCTGCCAGATGGATCACATGGTATGCCGGAATGATTCCAGATGAGGTCTCTAGCAATCCAGTTGTTTTCTGAGGCACCAGAAATGCACTGCCAATTTATTCTGTTGATATCTACAAACTTTAGAGGCGACCAATTATTGAATTAAAATAATACGAAGTTAATGGTAATATCTCCGCATTAATTAAACTCTGATAGCACGAATACTAAAGGACTAGCATTGACTGATAATGGCAATGGAGAAGTTCTAGCATTATTTTTAATTTAATGCTAATATGATATCCGAACTAAGGAATCCAAGCATTTCAAGGATCCTCTTTTATTTGGGACATTTGAACTTGCTCCGAAAGGTAAGTAATTGAGGGATCTACGGATACTAAGAGTTCCTTCGTACTTGGTACAGTGTTGAACCGCAGAAAAGTTAAGGATTCCAAGAATTTGAAGGATTGAATTGCATTTTGTTCTGGCAACATTAATGTTAAAATCAAGGATTTTCAGAGAACTATTGTTTTCACGGATGTTGGCGTGTTGTAGAGATCACCAGAAACCTGAAAAAACCAAGTTCCTTGGTCACTTTGATTCATTTTCAGTCAATGGGATATATCGAAATTTTTCAAGGTTTCCAAGATTTCGAAATCCTTGCACAGAAACGGCGTGGAATGATAGTGGATTTAGTCAGATGATATTTCGTTTATGATATAGTATGTAAATATTACTAGAATTTTCAAGAAAATTAAGAATTCGTTGGCGTTTTCGGTGTTGGAGACTGTTTTCGAAGCAATCGTGTCCAGAATTCGAAGGTTTCTTATGCATTTTGAAAGTGGTGATTTCAATGCAAGAACCAAGGATTTCCACAGAACCTACGATTTTCTGGATGTTGACCAGTGTGAGGCAATCTCAGAAACATCTAAATACGAAGTTTCTTAATGATTTTGAGTTATTTTTAATGAATAGAATATATCTAAATTTGTCAAGGTTTTGGAATCCTTGCATAGAAACGGCGTGGGGTCATACTGGGTTTGGTCAAATACATATATTTTGTTTATAATTAGAGTACATTTTATTATAATTTTCGAAAAGAATTTCAAGAATTACGGCGTCACTTCTTTCTGTAGGATGACTGTAATGTTGACAATATAAAAGAATTTTTTTTTGATTTCGGAATCCTTTACTTATTGGATTCGATATTGAATTTTTGTACTCGATCATTTCCCAAATCGACGACATAGAGATTGCCGTCTCGATCGAATGACAAACCGATGGGCCAATTGAGTTGGTTTGATTGTCCTCCTTTACCGTTTCCACCAACAATGACACTTCCCTGTGTGGCTCCTTGGGGCCAACGCATGATTCGATCATTCCCCCAATCAGCCACATAGACAGTGCCCAATGGATCGACAACGACTCCTTGAGGAGATGACAATTGTGTAAGACCATCTCCTTTTCCTTGACCACCAGCCACAACAATGCCTTGTTTTGCACCTTCCATCTATTTCATCACACGATCATTTCCATAATCAGACACATATACTGAATGATCCTGATCGACAAATACGTATCGTGGGGAAGAGAGTTGATCGAGATGATTTTCTCCTCCATTGCCACCTGCAACCACTATTCCTTGAGATTCTCCTCTTCAGTATCGTCTCACTTCATCTTTTCCAGTGTCAACGACATAGAGAGATCCATTCTCATCCATTGTCAAACCCAAACAATTGATGTTAGAGATGATTGTTTCTCCACTTGTTCCATTTCGACGAGACCATCGAACCACTCTTCTATTCGCATAATCGGAGATGATGAGACTATCACTCTCTTTGTCGACAATCATATCTAATGGGCTAGATAACTGATGATCCCCACTTCCTTGTCCATTTCCACCTGCAACCACTTGGCCACTCGTTGCACCCCATTTCCATTCCACAATACGGTGATTCGCCGTATCAGCAACATAGATTGTTTGATCATCATCAACATACAAATCCCAAGGGCTTGAGAGTTGATTGGTTCCATTGTCTTCTCGATTTCCTTCAGCTACAGTGATACCATTTTGTTGCCATCGAGCATTTGGATGAATGTCAATGGAACTTCCACCTAATGGATAGACTGAAATAGAGAGAAAGGAGAGAATAAAATGATAAAATAAGAGAGAGGGAGAGAATAGAGAGAGAAAAAAGTGAAAAGTTCATTTGAATTTTTGTCAAATCAACATTATTCTCGATTTTGGCTCGTTTCCAATTTTTTCTTTATGAGAATGGAGGTAGCACTATCAAAAAACTATTTATTTTGTTTTCTTCTCTTTTCTTTTGGGTTTTCTTTATTACTTAATTTATCATAAAATAACTGTTGATAGATGTCTTTCTTTTTTTTGTCTGGTACTACATAGATAATATTAATTTACTGATACATGGTTGAAAAAACAAAATGTTTTGTTTTTTCTCAACTATCTTTGATCTTATATTTGAATTAGTGGCCTTTAGAAAAGATTTTTCGTAGAGTTGAAATATCTTCAGAGACTATATGAATCTATTGAAATGTAAGTTATCCTAATTTATATATCATTAATATACAAATAAATAAAGTTCTTTTTTTTGCTTGCAAAGAAAAATACAGAGATCACGGTAGTCATTCTGTTAAAAATAATGAATTTTTTTTTAGTCTTATGAAAGATGTAAGTTATGAATATGCATATATATAGAAAACATGGGAATCTCACATCCTTTTATCGACTAATAGACAGAGTGAGAGAGAGTCATGAAAAATAGAAATAAACTAATTAAAAAGAATTAATGAAAAGGAAAAAAAGTCTTCATTATATTCATATTGATTTTAATAGAATCACCTTTTCTTTATGTATATGATTGGATATTAATAACTTCATTAGAGAACATTCAATTATTTACTATACTGCTTTGTTTTTTTTTTAAAGTTCAAACGAACTCGGAATTTTCCCAGTAGATTAAGAAAAAAAAGAATAAAAGAATTCATATTTCTACATGTATTTTACAAAAAAAAAGAAGAAGAAGAATATCAGAAGTTGAAACTATTGCACATTATTTTTCTTAGGAATTTTTTTTCTCTCTATATGTTCGTTCAATGTATGTTAAAGAAAAAATTCTAGACAAAAAAAGAAATTTTTTCAGACTACACAATTGAAATTTCTCTATTGTTTTTTTTATTTTCTTTTGGTTTTTCATATTGATCTGGAAAATCACATGCTCATTAGAATTCATTTTGCTTTTGTCATTATGTAGTTCTTCTAGAGTCGATTGTTATAATACGTTTATTTTTTATATGTAGTTTTTTTTCTACATGTTTTTAGATGTAGAAAAAGCAAAAGTAATATGGTTTGTCTGGCTAACTGTCAACCAGAATGATTAAAGTAGAACCTGATAATATTATATTATAGGGTACACCTTACTGTGTTAGGAAACACACTTTATTTTATCTTTTCTTCTAGTGAGTGGAAAAATTATGTACAAAACAGGCTTGATATGATTGTTCGAAAATTTTCGTTCGTTTCCGTAAGTTTGAAGGGAACGATAGAAAAGAAATGAGAATGCAAATCAAAACTAACTGTTAACACATATTCTGAGTGTAGGAAATAAAGACTTTCTTTTGACATAATTTTCATTTGATCCATGGTTATTGGAAGAATGTGGTAGTAGTAGTTACCTTAAAACTTGATAAATTCTCGTGTGAGTGCGTTACTAAAAAGAGCTCTTAGTTTATTTTACGTTGCAGTGACACATTATTTTTTCAGAGCGCTCAAGATACTTCGTTAACTTTCCATAGACTGTCCCATGGTAGACTTATTTTTCGGTTATTCGTTTCTATTAAGAAAAAAAATGGTACATAACGCACTGATGCAGTCGTCATTTTAGCATATAATGCTTTTTTGATCTTATAATTAATAATACTCTGTTATTAGCCATTATACCTCTTTCTCATTAGATTTGATAACGATTGAATTACTTTTTCAGTCACACAAAAGTAAAAACCTTAAGATAAATATTGTCCATAATTGTATTTATGGGAGGAAGAACCTCCAAAATTCAATGAGAAATGTGGTGGATAATAGAAGATAGGATATGAAATTTAGAGTAACTACTGGATCAAGTATCGTCACTTTTGGATAGACGCTCTTTCACATCAGTATACCATGTTTCTCATTTTAAACGTGATCAGTAACTTTTAGGATGTTAACAAAAATATGTTACGCACTAATAGTAAAACTATCCAAAAGCGCCTAAGTATTAACGGATTGTATTTGAATAGTTAGGCTGAAGACAGTGATGCGCGCTTTGAAAAGGAAAAAAAAACCATTTGTTCCAGAGATATAAGGATTAACTAGATATTTAAGGATGAGAATTCGCAAGCAAATGAGTGCATTCCATCAATATTCCGACTATGTTATGTAAACAACATTATTTTGAAAAAGAATTGCTGGCATAAATAGACTCTACCTATCGATGTAAAGTTGTTCTTAACTATAAATCTTTTTGGCTTTTGGGTTCACCGAAACTTTGGCAATTTGATACTACCCGAGAAGAAACTTCTTTGTATCGATACAGTACTAATATGTGATTTCCCTTCTTGGACACCTAGTATAAAATTAATGGATATGAAATCTGTTCAAATTAAGTCCCATTATGGAGTTAATAGATAGTCTAAATTCTCAAGGTTCCTGTTAATTCCTGTGAGAAATTCGGTTCAAAGTTAAAGGTAAAAAGTTCATTGTTATCCTTGGACAAATAAAAGAATGACATGTGAAGTTGCGCTTTATACTTTACAAATGCGTCACAGCGTTCTGACAAACTACGCGGAAGATATTCGTTTTTTAACTGCTCCTTCTCTTGAACTCTGAGAGACACAGTGATCTATCTTTATATGTCAACATGAAGACATGTAAAATTTCGAAAATGAAAGAATAATAAGCTTTCTATATTCTAACAAGTAGAAAAGAAAGCATTAAGTCCTCGAGAACATGTGGTCAGAACATGAAAAGTAGTGAGTGCATTACCGAAATATTTATAGTATAACTTCTCAGCAACACTACAAGTTTCTAATTCTAAACTACTTTTTCGCATTAATAGGCCTAACTATCCTCTATGAATTACAGTTTAGCCGATGTATTTAAAATTCAAGAATTCACAGAAATTTTGAAAGTTCCCATATCACCCAAACGACAGAAGGCCTTTTTTGTGAGTGCGTTACCAGCATGTATTTTTAGTATAAAAAGTGAATCACAAAATCAATTTGCATGAAACTCACAGATCTTGAAGTGTTTTATTATATACACATGTACTGCAAATTTGAGGACTCTACGCTTTGTTGTTAGTAAGAAAATTGGATCGAAAGTTGACAAAACGTGAGTGCGTTATCTACGGACAAGCCGAATATCATGACAAAGAGTTCAAGACAAAAAAAACCCGGCATTATCCTGAATATTTTTAGTTATAAGTTATTATCCTTTTTAGAAACCTAAAATATTCGTTTAGAGAAATCTACACTTAGCTCACATTTCGGACTTAGCAAGGTTCATTTTCGAGGCTGCAATTTTCAATGATAATTCATCCTAATGAAAAACATGTTGTTTTCTTTATTAATAATAAAAAATTTCAGTTTCATAAATTGAACTAGACTAAAGTTTGAACTTATTGACAGATGATTTATACCTTACACTAAGAATTTCTTAAGACTATGCCATTATAAAAAAAACAAAAAAAATTATAGAACTTGCAGTTGCTTCAAATTCAAAAGTCAACATTAGTAAACAACTTTTCGACACAGAAAAGTAGAATTTTGATAATTATTGTCATTTATTTTCTATTTTGCCATTGTTTTATTGGACTTATGCTTTAAAATTAGGCTAACAAGAAAAGAATTTATTCTTCAAGATTTAATCCTACTTTTCTCAGCCTCAAAAATTAAAATATAAAAATATATGATCTTACAAAAAATTTTCTCATACCTGAAGTTTCAAAAATAATAAAAAAAAAAAGATGTGTTTTTTATACCTTGAATCATTTGAGAGAAGTCTCTATATTTTTTTTTGTTTAACTAAAAAATATCTTGTTTTGAGTGAAACGTCTTATTCAAACGTAATATTGTTACTTTTTTTGGACGCACTTTTTAATTATCTTCGAAACTGTGATAGCTAGACAGTTTGCTCAAAATACCATTCAACGTATTTCATCATCATTGTTTTATTCATGATATAAAAATGACGTTTCTACATGCGTAAAAGTCTTGAGTTTCTATAAAAAAGTTTGTGTATTACGTACTACTACCAGAGATGGGCAAGTCTGCGATTTTTCGACAAAAGTCAAATCAAGTCATCGCTAATTCAAAAAACTTCGAAGTCAAGTCAAGTCATGTCCTAAAGTTTTTCAAGTCAAGTCAAAATTCAAATCAGTTTTCATCAAGTTTTCTTTTATTCGTGAAAAATCAAGATATGATAGTTTCATCCTATTTCAAACGAAAAAGAGCTTCCAACCAAGTTTCACGATAAATACTAAAAATAACTGGAATCAAAAATATATCACAAATAAATCGGTTTAGCTCGGTAAAAAAAACAAATGTACCACAAATAATCGATTTATCATCATACAAGAAACAAATGTATTACAAATAAATTGACCTGATCAAAATAACTATCAAAAAAATGTATTGAATATCAAAAATATATTCTAACTAAATTCCACAATTACACTTCAATAAGGTCAATTGTTGAAGGATTTTTCAAGTCATTCGATCTGAATTCAGACTGGGAAGAGAGGGAGGAGATCTTTAGAATACAGTGCATTTTTATAGTATCTGAAGTTAAATGTTTTATTAAATTGAAATACAGCATCTCTGGTTGAAAGGCAACATATATAATAGTATCAAACGAAGAGAAAGGATATGGATTTCGTTTAGTAGATGTCAACAGAACGAAGTAAAATTCAATAGTGACGAAAAATAGTCAACATGGGGATTACTATTGATTGATTTTTTTCTTATGATAACGACTTAATCGCTCATAATATAAGATTGCTGATCTTATCAATGTTACCTTGAACTAGCTGTAGAGTAATATTCCATACAAGAGAACTACATCTATTTGAGTAAAAATTAGTATTTGCCAAGATCAACAAGCGTTAATTTAATGCTTACATAGTTGCTGAGTAGTTGTTGTAGTTGGAATTGTACTTGTAGTTGTTGTGTCCATTGCTATTAATTATCAAAGAAAATTTGTGTAATCAAAGAATATAGGTTTATGTCTGATATAGAACCTAAGCAGTGCTTCAAAGTAGAGCACCGATCTCAAATGGCGTGAAAAAGGATTTTTTTTCTTTCAAAACTGCTTTTTTGATGGAAAACCTCTGTATTCATCGGAGAACGAAAACCAAGTAAAATTTTTGACAATTCTACTCGATTTGATTCGGCTGAATCAAATCAAATCGCATTGAGTTAAACCGAATCCATCGAAACTGTTCTGCTCAAATTCATCGCTCCTGTTATATTTTAAATACAAGTAAAAGATTTAAATGTACTGACTGCCGTTGCAGTACAAGATCGTTATTCGAAGTATGAAGTTTGTGATTTCAACGTATCACATAAATTGCCCACATGCCACTGTGCTAGTCTTAGACCATTAGAATACTCTGCCATCATATCAGCAGTGTGAGTGAAATGGCTTTACAGAGATACTGGACAGAACCAAAGAATAATGCAGAGATAAATTGTTACAAGCTTTCTCTCTCTCATCCCTCTGGTCGTCAGACAGTTTGAATATTGACATTCTTCTCTTAAGAAAGAAATCTCAAATGTTTGATACAAGCAGGCATAGCCTCCAAAATAATTAGCTGTACCAAGGGCATTCTGCCAATATGCATTCTGTGTTTATTAGTATTTTTTTTGAGGCAACTGAGTCAGCGGTGCTACAAGTTGTGAAAATTAATTTTCATACACAATTGCATTACTGATCATTAGTGGCATATTCATTCAATTCAATGGCGAAAGCACTCTTGAAGATCTAGCGATTACTCCGTCACAGCTAAATGATCAGTCTTCAATTTCGCAAGGTTAGCCATTAGAAACATGATAGAGAGAAACATAAATGTGTTTTCTTTCGAGCTAGATGTTAATCGCAGTTGTTTTGAAAAAAGGCTGCCGAGTAAACTCAATATTCACTAGACTCAGTCGCGTATACAACGAAAACTGTGAATAAAGAGAAACGTGGCACAACAGAATTGAAGTGCTCTTATGAAGATCCACCTAACATATGACACGTTCTACAGAATCGAATCGAATGATCAATTGTTCAATTTGTTTCGGTCTCTAATGCACATTCAAAAGTTCACTGCATATTCATGCATTGCTAAATATAACTGAAACCGACTCTGTATTTCAAATTAATGGATATAGTCCATGAGATGAGATGAAATCTTTTTTTCCCAATGATTACAATTCGTTTTCTCTCTGTCATGCTTTATCTAATTTTTAAAATGCTCTTCGACTCTGGCACTAGTACAATTCGTCGCACGACAATTCGTCGCGTACAATTCGTCGCGAACAATTCGTCGTATGATCAATTCGTCGCACGACAATTCGTCGCAAAACAATTCGTCGCACATGTATTGTAGAGAATACATTGATTGAATTAAGTAATTTAGTTTAAAATGTTATACAATTAATCGCCTTAAAAAAAACTTTTGTTTAGACTCATAAGAATCTTTTTTCATAATACAATGATTTTCTCAAAAATAAAATAGAGATATCAATTTAAAGCCTATTTTAAAATTTAATTAAAAAAATTGAAGCTTGATTTTGGATAAAATTCTATGTACACAAA